TAAAATTTAGGCCTTTTTGTGTTGTATGTATATTTCGTTTGTTTGTTTGTTTATTTTATTCATTAAAAAAATATTTTCTTTTCTTACGGGGTGGGAAAAGGAAGGGGGGAGGGAGCAGGAAGCAGGAGAACAAATTTTCCAAATCGATAAAAAATTTATTTATTATTATTATAACAAAAATAAATGATCACATTAACGACGGAAATATTTTTAATAAAGGTATTAAAAATTATTATTATTATTGAAATATTTAAGGTTTAAATAAAGGTTAAGTGCAGGTGGTTGTGAAAAATAAAATAAAAATTTAAAATTTGGTTTAAAAAAAAAAAAAAAAAGAAATCAAATGCCGTGAAATTCTATTCTAGAATTTATAAATGGTATAATAACAGTATTTGTCTTGTTGTTTTCCCACAATAAAACTATTTTTTACAAAGAAAAGTTTTGTATAATAATAATAATAAGGCACAAAATAAATATTTTAAAGAACCTTTTAAAGGTTGAAAAAAAAAAAAAAATTTCAGGTACGCCCACAAATAAAAAAAAAAAACCCTTTTTTCGAAAAAGAAAATTTATAAAGGAAAAAAAAATATTATGTATCATTTTCTATTTTTTTCTGTGTTTGTGTCTTTATTAAAAATAATAATTATTTTTTATAGATTTATAAATTTTTAAACGTGTAATAACTATTTTTTGTTGGAAATGACGTGTAAAAAAAGCAGAAGACAAAAAAAATGGCGTCAAAAGTATTTTATTATTATTGGGAAGAAAATAATTTTTAAACGAAAACGATTTTCACGACAATTTTTTTTATTTTTTTTTTTATAAATATACGTTTTTTTTGTTCGGGGACGAAAAAGGTATGTTTTGTGGGGAGGGGGTGAGGGGGGTTTAAAAGATCATAAAAATATTTTAAACCGTTTTTATTAAATTAAAGGTTAGAGAAGAAAATTTTATACAAAACGATTTTCTCAGAAAAAATAATTTATTAGCTCTTTTTTTCTTTTAAATTTCATTTTGATTCTGATTCATGTAAAAAAAAAATTTTCCTTTTATTTTCCTTTGAAAATTTTTTCATCAATCATAATTAATAATTTTACCCGCACACGCGCACGCGCACACACACAAAATATTTTTAATCGTTTTTTTTTAAGAAATTAATTAAACATTAATATTAATAGTAAAAGAAAAAAAAATGATTCAATAGAATATTATTATTATTATCATTATCATTATTATTATTAATCACAGTCGGTGGTCATGACAAATAAGTATTTATATTAAATAACTAGAAATAAAGAAAGTTAAATGAGAAAAAGGATTTTTTTAAAAGGAAAAAAAAAATAAAAAAAAAAAGATGGCAGACATTAAAGAAACGCCTAACAATAGAGAGGAATGGCGACAGAATGTCGGGTCTGCACCTGCATCAGGCTCACGTGTGATCTCAGGCACTTCTTCATTACTTCATCTTATCATGTACCTACCTCGTCTGAGATTCATTTATCATCGGATATTTCAAATGAAATCGAAAGTTTTTTTTTTTTTTTTCGAGTTCTTTGACTTTCTTTTTATTTTTTTATTTTTCTTTCCCCCCCCCCTCATTGCTAATTGTTTTCTCATTTCAGGTAATCATTATCATTATTATTATATGAAACAAGAAATTTTCGTGTGTGCTTACGTGCGGGTTTTATTTTTAATTATTATTATTATTATTAAAAAAAATGATGATGATGATATTATTAATGAATTTAAGGATGAATAATGTAAAATTAATAATAATAAATTGTTTATGATAAAAAAAAAAGCGTGGGAGGGAGGAGGAGAGGGGGGAGAATGAATCGAAAGAATTTTTTTTTTTTTGTACTTTTGCATTATAAACGAACACCTTAAAAAAACCCCCTTTTTTTACTTTCAGGTATTCAAAAAAAAAAAAAAAATTCTCATGACGTTTAAAAAAAATTTTCCCACCCACAATTTTTTTTTTTGAAAATCACGTTTCGGTCGGAAAAAATTATTATTATTATTAACGTACATAGGTTTATGTATTTACTTGTTAAAACAGAAAAAGAAATTTTATATTTTTTTTTGTTACCCTTTTTACATTTACATAATTAAAAAAAATAGAAAGAAAGAAAGAAAGGGATGCTGAATTTTGGTCCATCTGCCAAACAAATTTTCACATCTGTTATTTTTGCTCATGTAAAAACTGTTTTTTTTTAAAAAGAAAAATTTTAGAAAATAAAATAAAATTTAATTTTTTTATTAAGTTTTAAAATAATTTTACGTTTTGTCGTCGTTAAATAAAATTTTTAATACATAAAAATATTTCGTCCGAAAAATCCATAAACATAAAAAACCATAAAGTAAAAAAAAAACAAAATAATAATAATATTTTTGTTGTTGACCAAATTAAGGCGTTTTTTTATTTAAACCAACCAGAAAACTGTGTCAAAAGGTTCACCGATTTTTTGAAAAACGACACCTATTTTTTTTTTTTTTTTTTTTTAATAGTCGACAAATGTCTCACAAATGTTATGATTTAAAAAAAAAAAATTTTCTCAGGGAGGGTTCAACCAACCCCCCGATCCTTTTTCCTCTTTCTATAGATAACACACACACACACACAATTGCCTAAGACAACCTTCTGTTTACCAAATGTTTCCACCTCTCTCTCTCTCTCTCGACCTTCCGCAAATATCATCTTCCGACCTCTTTTACTTAACTTTTACATATTTGTTGTTTTTGTTATGTGTGATGAGAACCAGTGCAACAGGTTTTCCTTTTTTGCAGGTGATTCTTCCTCTCTTCGGGTGATTTATTAAAAAACTTTTCCCTTTTTTCCCTTCTTTTTAAAAATATTTTTACCATAAATCAGGTATAATAACAAACATTATGTGAATTTTTTAAAATCATAAGGTACCTAAAATAATTTTTTTTTTTTTATAATTATTTTTAATTTTTCGAAAAGGAGGAGGAGGAGGAAGAGGAGGGGGCGGGGGAGAGAGAAAAGCGTTAAAATTAATACCTGTAAGAATAATTTTAACACGAAAATTATTTAACGGATTTTAATGTTCGAATTCTTTTAAATTTGAATGACATTAAATACAATAATTGTATAAAATAAATGACAGAAGGTTGTTTTTCCAGGTTTCTCAGAAGTTAAAATTTTTTTTTTTTTTAGGGTTAATTGAACGTTTTTAAAGGTAATAAATACAAAAGTATTCTTCAAGTTCTCAGGTGTGTGTGCGTGTGTTAAGTGACAAGTTCAGGTACAGTTAACTGATTCATTCCAAAAAATCAATATTTTTGCAGCTGTTTATTTTATTTAGAATATTTACTAAAAAAATAAAAGAAAAATTGACTACAATGAATATTAAAAGATGAAAAGTCAGGCAGAAAAAGGTGACAGTTTTTCTTGGTAATTACCTTTAATGTCAAATCAAACAATTTCATATATATTATTATTATTATTATTATTGACAGTGACTTTGTATTTATTTTTATTATTTATAAATAAAAATTCATTTTAAAAAAAGAAAAAATTTACTAAAAGTACTAAATGATAACATTTTATTTTATTTTTTTTTTTATAATTGTTCGAAAAGAAAAAGGAGAAAAAAGTTCTATAAAATAATAATTATAAAAAACTTGACAAGTTGTTAATGGTATACCACCAATGTGTGAATATAAACAGTGGTAGGAAAGCAGCTTCGGGGAATGACCTCACAAAGATGAGAATCTCGTGCAGGTGGAATGCAGACTTTATGTCGCCGTAATAAATTCCTATATCGGTCATTCTCATTACAATTTAAAAAAAAAAAAACATTTTTCTTTCCTCCCCCCCCCTTTTTTTTTGTTCAGAAAGTCAAAAACTTTTCCAAATAATTATCCTCGTCATAAATTTTTCCTAATTATTTAATTATTATTATTTTGTAAAATTAAGGGTAAAATTTTTATTTTTTTTACAACAAAAAAAAAAAATGAAACGATTGTTTAAAATAGTTATTAAATAATTATTATAAAACTTTGTTTTATGTTAACCTTAAAAAAAAACTTTAATTTATGGCGATGGATTTTTCTAGAAACTTCAAAAAATCATATAATACAAAATTTGAGTATGCGATTTACATTTATTCAAGCATTGCAAAAAGCATAACTGTTATATTACAGGAAGTTTTTAATACGTAATGATTTTGTTACAGTGGCGACATCTTACGTAAATTCACGGAACTATTTGATTCTACTGCTGCAAAAATTTTCACGCAGGTTATACAATTCTTTTCCTGTACGGTAAAGAGTAAGTAGTTATTAGTCTTATTAAATTTTATTTTATTTGTATTAAACTTTAATTTTTAATATTTACCAACCACTTATTACGTTTTACAACAATTTAATTATTTAAATTTTTAAAATATAAAAAAAAAAAAATTCTCTTGTTATTACATAATTATTTCTAAAGAAAATGATGATGGTCGATGATTTAATTATTTATTTATTTTTTTAAAGACTAAATAAATACGATTATTATTATTATTTTTTACTTTTTTTTTTTTAGTATTTTTTTATTATTTTTAACAAGAGAATAAATATAATTTGGGAAATAAATAAAAAAAAAAAAACACGCTCGATGGAAAAATAATTAATTGATTTTATTGATGTTTTATTGTTTTTTATTTATGCTCGTATATTTTTTTATAAGTTTTAAATAAAAAACAAATTTTTTATTGATATTTTCTTTGCCATGAGAAAAAATTTTATTGTGGGGGTCCGCCGTGTATTTTATAAAAATTATTCTAAATTTATTCAAATCCACAATTTCCCAAGTATCAGGTGAAAATTTTGAAAACAGGAAAAGGTTCCCAATAAAGGTTTTTAAATATTATTATGAGCAATGATATTTATATAATTAATTAATGATATATTTAAAAAGCCTTATACATATTACTAATAAAGTTTAAGTTAATAATAATAGTAATAATAATAAATAAAATTTAATAATATCATCATCCTAAATTTAATAAAGAATCAGAATAATGATGTCTACGATCAGAATAATGATGATTTTTCGTTTGGTAATGTCTTTGAGTATTTTCTAAATCAGGTTCGGAACATGGCGTCGGACTTTCTCTCGTTGAATTTATATTTATAAGGGTTGATCTGTTGGTATTTTGATTTTCTTCCATCATCGACCAATCTTCAGGATTTCGTGAAGAAGTATTATCGGATGTTGGTTGCTGAATAGTAAAAGGCCACGTCTAAAAGGAAAGAAAAAGATTAAAATTAAATTATTAATAATAATAATCATTTGAAATAAATGAACCGAAAAGAAAAAAAATTCACCCTCTAAAAATTAAAAAAAAAAAAAAAATAAGCTCGTGCCATATTGTTTTTAAAACCCAGGTGGACACAATCCTCTTGGGCAAGTTTACAATTTTACAATTTTAATGACATGAAATCATTGAAGTAAAAATCATTTTTGTTTATATAATAAAACGAAGAGCCCTTTTAACTCTTCTGGCTTTGCGCCATTATCAGCCTTCGTACAAACAAAAAAAATTTAAAAAAAAAATTTAAACCAACAAACGCCCTTATTTTCTCTCTCTCTCTCTACAACAACAACAACCAAATATAAATTTCATATGTTGTGACGTAATAAAATTTACTTATATAAATTATATTCGATATATATATATAAAAAATTACAAATCAAAATAAAATGGCAAATCTTTTTTTTTTTCTCATAAGAAAAACAAAAACAAAAACAAAAACTTCATATAAGGATTTTTAAAAATAATAATAATAATAAAAATAAACAAAAGCCTAAGAAGGTTTATTTGTTTTTAAAAAAAAAAAATATCTTTTTTGTTTATTGCTGCTCCCATTTTTTGTTTTTTTTTTTTTTCGAAAGGAAAATTTTAAACCGTCAAAAATGTTTTGTGGGTGGGCAATTATATATATTTTAAAAAAAAAAAAAAAAAGTAGAACAAATAAAATAAAAAATTATATATATATAAATTGCACGTTTAAATTATTATTATTATTACGAGTATTTTAAATTATTAAGAGAAAAAAATTTCATACCAAATTAAGGGGATGAACAATCGGTGGAGGATTTCCATCATCTGTTAATATTGTTCTTAAATGTGCTATATAACTAGTTGCAAGTCTTAAGGTATCTAATTTTGATAGTTTGGTATCAGCTGGAACCCATGGCAATGTTGTTTTCAACCTGGAAAATGCTTTGCTTAATATTCTCATTCTTGCTCTTTCTCTTGCATTTGCTGCATTTCTTTGTCCGAGTTTATTATCACCGTGACGACAGCAATTATCATTATCATCATCATCATAATCTATCGTTTGTTCTGGACTTCTTCTGTATCGAGGCATATTTGTCTTCAATTTTTCATTTTTTCACGTCTTAAAATAAAAAAAAAAAAAAAATTTTTTTGTTATTATTATTATTTATGTTTTTAAACGATTACGTCAGAATCGTTCAAATTCCATTTTTTTTTTTTTGCAACATGAAATTTTTTTATAAGAAAATTTAAATTTTTTATTAATAAACAAAATTAATAATTTAATTTTAAAAAAAAAAAAAAAAATTGAAAGTTTTTTAAATTTAAATTTTTAATTTTTTCTAATTATTATTATTATTTTAAATTATTTCTAATAGAAAATTTACTCAAATTTAATTATTTGAGCAAATTTTTCATGGAAAATTTTAAGGAAAATTTGAAAATTATAGTTTTAAAACATTATTATAGCAAGTTAATAAATCAAATAAAATAATAATAATAATATTAATAAATTAATTTTAATAATTTTGTTGTTGTTGTAGGAAAATTTTCTTATGATTACTTTTTAAAATTAATTAATTATCTAATTATTGATTATTATTATAACATTAAATTTATTATAAATAATTTGATTCTCTAAATAATAATAATAATTAATAAATAATATACTAACCGAATCACATTTAAAAATTTAAATTAAATTTTAATTAAAACAATTAAAATTAATTTTTTTTAAAATTTTAATAAAACAAACAAAAATAATTTTTTAATATCTTACCTATTTTTAAAAAAAAATATATATATATATGTAAATTTTTTTTGCACAAAAATTAGTCACAGTTATATAAAATAATAATAATAATAATAATATGTATATATATTCACAAGATGTTTAAGAGGATAATAAAAATTTATTAATTTAAAAGATGAGACGTTTGGCTGTGAGAATCTTTAAGAGGAGGAGCTTCAAACATTTCTAATAATTATTTAAAAGAAAGATTTGTTTTTATAGGCGTTTTTTTTTTCTTTCTAGAATTGGTTCTAAATTTGAATTTAGGAGGAGGAGGAGGAGGTGTCAAATGAAAAACAAGAAAAAACAAATTTTTTTTTACATAAATTTATTATAAATTATTTATTAAAATAATATTTTTTTGTATAAAATAATTATTTTATAAAGTTTCATTCTGTAAAGTTTTTTTTTTATATTCTATTTGCACTGATTAGTACAAATATTTCAATTACATATAATTAATAATAATAATAATCATATTTTTTTAAATAAAATAACTTTTTTTATGTACAAGTAACAATAGTAATAAATTAACGTTTATCATTATTATTTTTTAAGATAATTATAGCAGCAAAAAAAAAAAGGAAATGGAATTATTTTAATTATGAACTCAGCTAAAATATGTATCATAATATGTATACAACGTATAATAATAATAATAATAATTAATTGATTAATAAAATTGACAATGAGATTTTATGAGCTTTTCTTTTTTTTTTTTTTTTTTTCATTTTTGCCAAGTGCAAATATAAATAATTAAAATTTTATTCGTATTATTTAACTAATTGTAATTGAAATTACACGCCCTAATACGGTCCTGTGACCGTGACGTTCGTGAAATGTTCCACCTGGAAAAAAAAAAAAAAAAAAAAAAAGGAAGAAGACCAGATTTAAATACGGAAGAATCATATTAAAATACAAAAATAATAAACTTTCAATGAGATTTTTGAGGGCATTAATTTTTCTATTGCAAATTTTACACGGATAAATATTGTAAAGTATGTGAAAAATAAATAAATAAATAAATAAATTTTTAAATGATTTTCTACTTAAAATCAAAGCTTTAATTATTGTTAATTTTTTCTTTTTTTTTTTTGAAAATAATTTCATCCTTCGTTTCAGTCGATTAATTATTTAGAAAATAATTTATCCACGAGCTTAAGGGTCTTATGATTCTTTTTTTTTTTTTTTATTTGAGAAGGTTACCGTAAAAAAATAATAATAATAATAAATTTAAAAGAAGGGTGTTGATCTAATATCGTAAATTTTTAACCATGGGATAGGTTTTCATTTTGACATTAATTGCAAAAGGATAATTTTCCTTTTAACAAAAATTTCTGGACCGAATGAAGTAGTCAATATTAATCATTATTAATTTTGGGTAAAGGGAAAAAAAATTTAACCTTTGACTTTTTTAAAAATTAAAAATTTTTGTTTTAAAATGTATGAAATATTTAAGAATTTTTAAATTATTAATAATATTGAATAAATACAATTACTTTCAATAATATTACTATTCCAATTAATTAATACTATACTAATAGAATTAAAATAAATACTAATTAATATAGAATAGTAATTAATAGAAATAAAATAAATACATTATTATTATACTATTTAATAGAATTAGCATTAAATGGTTTTTTTCAATAAAATAAAATATTTTAAATTAAACTTTGAAAATTATTCGCAATAATATATTAAACTATTTAATATACATTATTAATAATATTAATTAGTATAAGATTATACACTTACTAGATTTTGTAAAATTTTAAATGTTTGATGAGTAAAATTTAAAAAAAAATGATTGGAATAAAGGAAAGCAAGCCGCCATTTTGAAAATTTTAAACGAAAAGAATTTAGCGCGAAAAAAAAACAATGTTTTTAAAAAACTTACTTGTGACACGTTTATTAAAATTTAAGTTGGTAACAGATTTTTATAAAAGTCTGGATTCCATATCGTGCTGTAATGATAACTTTTAGTTTTATTGTTACGTAATTTATTTAATGGTAATGTAAAAAAAAAAAAAAAAAAATTACCTGATAAAAAAAAAAAACTGTACTTATAATATAGCATTTAACTTTTTTTTTTACGTATTGCGACATTGTTAATTGGTCAACATCATCTATCCACGTGTTTAATACGGTGTAATTCAATTTGAAAAATTTTTATTCACATAAAAATAAAAGGTAAATAAAATTTAATACAATTATTTTATTTATTTTTTTAATAAACAACATTTTATTCATTGAAGAATTTAACATTTGAAATTAGTTCGTTAAATTTCACCGTATTTATTTGATTTCATTCATGGTTTTCAAGAAATTATTTCTTGACGTTAGTTGTAGTTTATTTAAAAAAAAATATTCACGTGAATTCGATAAAAAAATTAAATTGAAATTTTTTAATAAATTAATAATAATGGAAGATGAAATTGCACCACCGGATTGTGTGAGGGGTATGAAAGTATTGGACAGAAGTGCATTTAAAAAAACCATTAATGTTTATTCTATTGAAATAAAACCAAATCAAATTAATAATTTAAATAAGTGCTTGAAAAATTATTATTTTAAAAATCGACGTTGTAAAATAACAGAAGAAAAAATAAGTGACAATGTAAAACTTTTTCTTAATCCTGCCTTAATAAAAAATTTTGATGACTTTAGTGAAAACACTAAAATCGAACTTAAAAATTTAGGAATAACTAAAGATATGTTTAGCAATGAAATCATAACTTTAGATTATGATTATTGGAAATTAAACGAAGTATTAAAAGCTATATTGCCTAAAGACGAGCCACCATTAACAAGTTATTCCATTATCGGCCATATCGTTCATTTAAATCTCAAAGACCATTTAATTGATTACAAGTATATTATTGCTGAAGTATTGAAAGATAAAGTTTCAGTTGCTAAAACTGTTGTTAATAAAACAAACAAAATTGATAATGTATACAGAAATTTTGAAATGGAAGTTCTGTGTGGAGAACCAGATTTTATTGCCAGTGTTATAGAATATGACACAAAATTTGAATTTGACTTTTCTAAAGTATACTGGAATCCCAGGCTTTCAACAGAACATAATAGAATTGTTAATTTAGTGAATCATGGAGATGTTTTGTTTGATGTATTTGCTGGTGTCGGACCATTTTCAATCAGAGCAGCAAAAAAAAATTGTTTAGTTCATGCGAATGATTTAAATCCGGATTCTTTTAAATGGTTAAATCATAATATTAATTTAAATAAAAAAGCCAAAGGCTGGATAACTACTTACAATAAAGATGGATCAGATTTTATACTAAATGATTTTAAAAGTAACATGTTAAAAATTTGGAGCGATTCAAATTTTCTCGGGCAAATTCATGTCGTCATGAATTTACCTGCCAAAGCTTTGAGTTTTTTAAAATACTTCAAAGGGCTTTTCGATGAACAGGATTTAAAAGAAATAAAAAAAGATCATTTAGAAAAACACCTTCCAATAATTTACTGTTATTTTTTTGCAAAAAAAGATGAATCACTCGATGAAATTTTCAAAACACATTTGGAATATAAATTTGATGAAAATGAATATGAATTTAATTTTGTTAGAAATGTTTCGAATGGAAAAAATATGCACAGAGTGACATTTCAAATGCCACTATCAATATTAATGATAGATAATTCTGATATAAGTGAACCTTTACCTAAAAGGATTTGTTTAAATGATTAATGTAAGTGTACAGAATTTTAAATTGATTAGACGATTTGAAAAATATAATTTTTAATTCGATAAAAATTTTATTTCGATTTGAAATCTACAATTTGTGCCTTTGTATTTGTAATCGTACAAACAAAATTTAATTTAAAATTTAGTTTTTTTTTTTCTTTTTCATGTAGAAATATTTTTGGTAGAATGGCGAAAAAAAAGGCCAACAAAAAGAAAAATGTTTTTAAGGTTGTTGGAGCGAAAAGTCTTAAAGCGAAAACAAAAGCTAAAGAATATACTGGAAATTTAAAAAAAGTAGGTTTCTCTTTTTTAATTATTTATTTATTTTTTTTTATTATTGTTAAATATAAAATACATTAGGTTATTAGCTATACATTAATTTTAATTGTAATTTTTATTTTAAAAATTGTTATTCGAAAAAAAAAAAAAACAAGTGTACAGTTTTAACTCTTTTACCATTTTTTTTTTTTTTAGATTAAAGAAACACTTAACAAAAATATAAGTAAAATTGATAGTGATTTTTTAAAATTACAAAATGATATATCTAAAAAAAAGGAAAAGCCTGATGATAAATAGTCAAAACAATCAAAAAAACAACAACAACAAAAAACAAAATCATTTAAAGAATGTAGTAGATTTGGAAAAAGAAAAACAAAACACATTGAAGAAATTAAGTGAAATCAAATTTTAAATATTTTACAATATTATTTATCTGTTGTAATTTTTTTTTATACACGATCCATAAATAAAATTTATATTTAATAGTAAAATAAGCTAATAAATTTTTTATTAGAGGAAATTTATAATAAATTTTAAAGGTTTGTATCATAATTTGATAATCATCTTGTAATTTCTTTTTTTTTTTTTTTATTTTTACTATAATTTATGTTTTTTAAGGATCCATGTTGTTTTTAATTTAATTGAAACCTCGATAACAAAAATATATTTAAAATAATTAAATTTATTAAAATAATTTTACCTTTAATATAAGCATATGATTAGTTTTTTACAATTAAAATATGGCAACTTAACTTTTTTTCTTTTTTAAATTTAAGTTATTTTAATGTTAAAAAAAAAAATGGCAATCATTTTTTACTAAGATATTTTCATTATTCATTTTTTCAAACAAAATTTCAAATTTATTTTAATAATCACAACTGGTTTTGTACTGAAATAAATAATTTTTAATCAAAATTTTATGTATTTTCTTTTGCAGAGCAAATACAGATAATTACATCAAATGGAAGAGCAATTAAAAAAAGCAGGGATTATAATTGTTGGAAATGAAATACTTAAAGGGCATGTGAATGATTTGAATTCTGCTTTTTTATGCAAAAGGTTTCACGCCATTGGAGTCAAAGTATGCAGAATATCGACCGTACCCGATGAAAAAAATGACATAGCCGAAGAAGTAGCCAGGTTCAGTGAAAAATTTGATATCGTGGTTACAACCGGAGGAATCGGTCCCACTCATGACGACATCACATACGAAGCCGTTGCCGAAGCCGTAGGAGATAAAATTGTTATGAATTCCGAAATGGCGGAAGTTATTAGTAGTTATTTTCACGAGAGCGGCGACGTTAAAAATAATCCGACTTTAAAAATGGCTTTAATACCTCAAAGTTCAAAACTTATTTACATTTTACCCAAACAAGAAAAAAATTCTTGGCTAACGAACAAACACAACGGATTGCAAGAAGAAAAATGTCCCGTTGCGAAAAAACCTTTTCCCATAGTACAAGTTAAAAATATTTATATATTGCCCGGTATGATGGAATGGCTGGAACATTCCTTTGATCATTTGCAAAAAATTTTCGAAAATCCCGACGTTAAAATGTACACGATGATTTTATTTTTAACGTGGCCGGAAGTGAAGATATTAAACGAACTCAACAAAGCCGTTAACAAATATGAAAATCTTGTACTTTTCGGATCGTATCCGTCAAATTTCAGCGGAACCGATTTCGTAACGAAAATTGTTTTGGAAAGTACTTCGATTGATGACGTCACGAGCGCTTATTCGTACCTTAAATCTTTGTTACCCTTAAAATCAATTAACGAGAATCTCGAAATGAAAGATGCCGAACTTGTCAAAGAGTTGACAAATGGAAATAAATCCATTTGTAATCTCGTGCGAAATTCATTAAAGGTTTGCATTATTTACAACGACGAGGTTTTTAGTATTGAAAAGTTTAATTTAATAATTTAAATATGGATTTCAGGTCATAGAAACCGCTTTTGAAAAATACAAATCGGATGAAATTTATTTGAGTTTTAACGGAGGAAAAGATTGCACCGTTTTACTTCATTTGATTTGGACCGTTTGTAAAATTCAAAATTATACATTTAAAATAAATTGCGTTTATATAAAAAACGGTTCAGTTTTCCCCGAAGTCGATAAATTTGTTACCGATACCGTTAATAAATACAAATTAAACGTAGTCATCGCGTTCGGTCCGATAAAAGAAGCTTTAACGGAATTACATAAAAGAATTCCGGAAATAAAAGCAATTTTCATGGGTACGAGAAGAACGGATCCGCATTCGGAAAATCTACAAGAATTTCAGGTTTTTATTTTTAACATTTTTTTTTTTTTAATTGAAAAATAATTAATGGAAAGAAATTATTAGATTTTTGTAATTTTTTTTAATTTGCAGGAATGCGACAAAGATTGGCCTCCATTAATGAGAGTGAGTCCCATTCTCGACTGGTCATACCATGACATTTGGGATTTCTTAAGAATATTACCCGTTCCTTATTGCACTCTCTACAATGAAGGTTATACTTCAATAGGTAATTCGAAAAACACACAACCCAATCCATCGTTAAAAATTCCAGGATACGAAAATAAATATCACCCGGCTTACAAGCTTAAAGATGGCTCTCTGGAAAGACAGGGAAGAAAATAATTATAGGTTCAAATGACATGATTATTTTTATTGTCGTAGAAAAATTACATTAAAAACTTCACTAGCCTTTTTTACTTAAAATTTTCATAAAGCGATAGTGACTTAATTTGTTTCACATTTTTTTCTGTTTTGAATGCTTTAAAAAGTCATTTTTTTAATTTATTAAAATGTTTATTTTTCAATTTGAATTGTTTGTTGATTTGCCATCGAAATATTTTGCAATTATTAATTCTGCATTTTTGAAATTTGAAAGTTTTGAAACTTTAGCTTGAAATTTAGTTCCTCTAACAGCCCCTTTGCCATCTAACAAATTTAATATTCTGAAAATAAAAAAAAGAATTTTTTTAATGTCTTTAAAATATTACTTTTAATGATTTCAGTTTTTTAAAAATGGTCACATAAAATATTTACTGTGGTGCTAATGTTTTTATATCATCTTCATTTCCATTAATCAATAAATATCCGTTAGTTTCACCTGCTGCCAACATAAAAAATGTTTCGTTTAGTAATTCATTGTCCCTTAAAGTTCTCCAAAAACAATCGACATAATCGGAATTGGCATCATTTTTATAATGAGTATAATACTTTGGTTTTGGCTTTAAATATTTTAATTTTTCTGCTTCTTCCACTGCTTTTTCTTTAAATAAATTGTCTAATTTTTTATTTGTTAATTTAAGGTTTTGTTGAAGTTTACTAATTATGTCTGCATATGAAGAGGGATCACACTTGAGAAGTTTTGTTAATTTTTGTTCTGTTTCAAGACATTTTGATAAATATTTCAAAACTCTAGTACCGGATAAAAAAAATAAATTTGTTTTATTTTTTTTTCCTTTTTCTGCATACAAAAGTTTTATACTCTGTAATTGTCCTAAATTATTTACATGAGTACCACAACATAAATCAGATTCTAATCCGACAATTTCAACAATTCTAATTGGTCCTGTCACATCATCTGGTAAACCTCTAGTTCTGGCATTTTCCACTTCTTTACTATTTTTCTCATATAATTTTACAGTCACAGGAATTTGCTCGATTATTTTTTGGTTGGCCAAATTTTCTATGTTAGTAATTTGTTCATTGGTCAATTGTTTGGTATCAAGCTCAATATGTGATAATTCTTCTCCAAGCCACCAAGATGTTGTATCTATTTTATATTCTTCATTAATTATGGCCGTTATTAAATGTTGACCTGGATATTAAAAGAAAATAACCTAGTTCTAATTTCAAAACAAAATGTTTTGTTTTTAATTTTTTTAAATACCTGAATGTTGTTGCATGTGATCAAATCTTCTTTCCCAATTAATTACTTGCTTTACTTCTCCACCTACTGTAACCGGTTTCGGAAGGTATATTACCGCTGAATCACCTTTCCTAAGAACTTGGGAAACGGGGATGTCATTAACAAATCCTGTATCCCAGGGCTGTCCACCACCTTCGGGAAATAAAATAGAGTCTTCACAAATAACTTCATAAAATGTCTCATTATCTTTAACACCTTGTGAACAAGATACAACTTTTGAAGTGATCTAAAAAAAAAAAAAAAAGTTAAAGTTAAAATAACTTATTAAATAGTAAAAAATAATTATTGGTTTTTGTTTGGCATTTTGAAAAAATTAAATGAAAACATAATTACACTTTGTTGAAAACTATCTAATTGACAAGCAAAAACCATTATTATATTTAAACTTTTTATGTTTTGAATATACGTAAATTATACAAACAAACCGCACAAGTACTTTAAAATTCTTCTGCTTGCAGGTTTGACAACATAAATTTTTATAAAATGACGAAATAACTTTATATCCGCTTTGTTGGCGGGCCGTACTGCCGTCTGCATCACTTCCTTCTTATCCACGTACTCGTAGTTTGTAGTAAAGCCGGACAGTTATTGGCAGATGTCTCGTTTGTGATTTTTGTGTTGCTAAAAAGTATTTTTTTAGTTTTTTTTAAATTCTGTGTTACAATTATTCAATATGAAGCAACTTTATCTTGTTCTATTATTTTTGTTTCCTATTATAGTTGTTTCTTTTAATGGAGGTAAGTTTTAGTTTTATTTAGTTTAAAAATTTTGAATTTTTTAAAAACTGGAGCAACGCTCCAATACGTGGCTGGTTAAAAAAAAAAACAATTTTTTTCAAAGAAACTTTTTTTAAGTTTTAATTTTTTTTATAAATTTCTAAAGAATGCAATCGTCTTTTACTAAAATTCAAATTATTTTTATTCTATTTTTAATTAATTATTATTTAAATGTTGTCAAATTGTTTAATCATGTATGGCATGAATTCACCATCTGATTTAAAAAAAAAAAAAAAATCAATGAATATGTTTATATTTTTTCAAATTAATTATTAACTTAAAATTATTAAATTTCTTATTCATTATTTTTAATTTTTAGTATAATATGATTTAAGTTTGATTTTAAATTATCAAAAACATTTATTTATTTTTATACATTAGGCTCCAGCCCATTTGCTGCAGCTGCTTCCGATGATGATGATGTAGATGATGATGTCGATGTTGAAGGTGATGGAGAAGATACATCTATGACTGACGAAGGAGGAGATGATGAAGATGGAACACAATCTGGTGCTTCTCCAGATGCTCTTACAACTCTTTTGTTTACAAAACCTTCTTCAGCTTCTACTGCTGTTGGTAATGCTCAAAATTTTTATAATATCAAAAAGTAATTTTAAAAAAACGTTATTTAATACAATTTTTAACGTCGATTGAAATATTTTTAGAATTACCCGCTGGACAAATTATAGAATTTCTCGTTGGATTTCATAACAAGGGAAAACAAGATTTTATTGTTGAAACTCTTGATGCATCATTTAGATATCCAATGGATTACAGTTTTTACATTCAAAACTTTTCTATGATTGCTTACAATAGAATAGTAAAACCAACTCATGAAGCAACTTTAGCTTATTCATTTATGACTCCTGAATCTTTTGCTGGAAGACCATTCGGGCTAAATATTCATTTAAGTTATAGGGATTTTGTAAGTTGTTTTAGTTTTTTTTTTTTTTTTTTTTCATTTTATCGTATGAATCAATTTAGAATGTATATTAGAATCGTACATATATTTATTTACAAATTGTTTTGAACTCTTTAACTTAGTCAATTAATTTGAATTATTAGAGGTTTATTCTTAACTAAATTTCTTTTTATTACACTAGTATACACAATATTATTCTTTGAAAAAAAAAAAATAAATAAATTTTAAATATTTTAAATAATTGTGTTGTGACCGAAAAGAAGATTATTAATATTGTTTACTTATTTTTATTGATCTTAGCCTTGTACAAATTATAAATAATAATAATAATTCACCAATGCTACAAAGAGCCTAAATATTGTTACAAATATATTTTTTTCTTTTTTTTTTTAGGAAGGAAACGCTTTTAGTGAATCCGTCTTCAATGAAACTGTTAACATAATTGAAATCGAAGAAGCATTAGACTGTGAGACATTGTTTTTATATGTCTTTTTAGCTGCTCTCGTTGTTTTACTTTTGGTCATAGGTCAATATTTCTTAGTTTCTGTCGGTAAGAAACGTGTAGGAAAGAAACCTGTTGTCGAAACTGGTACCACTAATCCCAATGATGTCGACTATGAATGGCTGCCAAAAGAAATGCTTAGCACATTGAGTAAGCTTTCATTTTTTTAGTTTTTGGTTTGATAAATTTATCACAACTTTACATTTTAATGTTTTTTTTTTTTTTTTTTTTTTGCTGTAGACAAAATGAGTCCCAAATCATCTCCCAGAGGAGGTTTAAATCACAGAAGTCCTAAAACTAATAATAATAAATATCCAAATTCTAAATCATCATTACAACAAAGTCCAAATCAAGGAAAATCTAAAAAAGTAACAAAAGCTAAAGGCTGGACCTCGCTTCTGTAAATAAATAATGAGAAAAAAAAAAAAAAAAGAAGAAAAATAAAAAACGTGCGGTTTATTTAAACAACACTCGAGTATTTTTTTAAATGCAGAACGTTTTTTTTTTTTTTTTTTTTTTTTTTTATTATCTGAATCTGTTCGCTCACTTATTCATATAATTCTTTTATTATTTTTATGTATTATAAAAGTGCACATATTAAATCACATACAGTCGTTGGGTTAATGTATCATATATTTCGTTGCTTTTATTTATGGCAGCCTATAAAAATGGCAAAAGAAAGAAGAAATAAAATTTTTTAAATTACGTATACACGTATAAAATTACACACAAATTAATTTTGCGTTTTTTTTTACGATTAAAAATGAAACAATATTTGTGTTACAATAATAATAATTATTTAATTTTCGAAAATAACTTTGTAATTTTTTTCTTTTTTTTTTTTTTTTCAACATAACGTCGTGAGCAATAAAATTTTAAACCAATCAATTGAGGGTGTGTTAATTGAAACAATCAAATAAACAAAAAAAAACCTAATTAAAAATAGTCACAAAATAATTATACGAACTAATTAAAAATTTATAAAAATTAAAATTTTTTACGCGCGATTATTTTCATAAAAAAAAAAAAAAATTGATCAAATATCGATTTGAAAAAATTTTAGCACTTTGAAATTATAATAATTGTACTTTATAATATTTTCTCTAAATTTAATTCGTGTAATAAATTATATTAATTAGGTGGAATTATTATTAATTTTTCAAATACCTCAAAATAAAATTATAATTTTTGTAGTTTAATAATAATAAGAATAATAATAATCGAAAAATTATTTTATAAAAAAACAAAAATTTTTAAGTGCAATAAATTTTTCTTTTTTTTTTTTTTAATTGTTTATATATTTAATATTATAATGTAATAATTAACGTGTAAATTAATTGATTGGGTTAATATTATAAAATTAAAAAAAAAAAAAAAAATTTCTTACTTTTACACCCTCGTAAATAAAAACAAAAAATTTTTCGCATTAAATTTTCCCTCATTTTTTTTTTTTTGTGTGATTTAATTAATGATGGATTTTCTGTATAAAAATTATTAATTATTAATTTTGTGAGGTTGTGGTTGTTGTTGTTGATGATGTTTTCATTACATTTATTTACATTAGTAATGGCGTGTATAAAAAAAAAAAAAAAATTCAACATCAATTTTTACATAAAAAAAATTAATTTAATATCGAACAATTAGTAGTATAAGTTGTATAAGACTAAATATATATATATATAAATGAAATTAATATATTTTTTCTAGATATTTCTTTTTTGTTTATTTATTTATTCTTTTTTTTTAATAAAAAAATTATAATAAATAATTTTTTAATTACAATTTTAAATTTGTGTAAAAAAAAGAAACATGGATGACGTGATTTAATTATAATTTTTTACAATTGAAATTTAACAAAATAAATTGTTTTGATTTTTTTTTTGTAAAATGAATAAAAATTGTAAATTATTTTGAAAAGGTTGAAAAAAGGGAAAATTTATCAAAGGTAAAAAGATAATAATAATAATCAAAATGAATTTCTTGTAAAAAAAAAAAAAAAAAAACAAAAAAGAGCCTTAAACGAAAATCAATCAAATAAATTAAATTTTTTTTTTTTTTGCCTAAATTTTGCATAAATTTCATTAAGGCATAATGAAGTAATATAAGTTTTTAATTACTTATTAAAACAAAAAATAATTAAATAAATAAATAAACTAACATTAAAATTAGTCAAAGAAATTGGATAATATTTACAAAGTTTTACATTTTAAAACCACGCATTTTTGCACAAAAAAAAAAAAAAAAAAAAAAATTTCCGGTTTTTTGGGTAAAAATTTAAATGTTTTTCACATTCTGCCCCCTCCCCTCCCCTCTCTCACCCCCTCCATTTTTAATAATCGTCGAATATAACATAAGTATAATTATTTCATATTAATTTACAAAATTTAAAAAAAAAAAAAATCCTTTTTTATATTTATTATTAAAAAATTTTTGTATTGTGTTTAAAAAAAAAAAAAACAATAAATATTTTTAATATAATCTGAAAAACGGAGGGGAAGGGGAAGGAGGGGGAGGGGAAACGAAAAAAATTATTGTAAAATTTTAAATTTTTAAAAGAAAAATTTCCGGGGAAATAAATTTGATACTGATAAAAACCAAAAGCCGGTGGTTTTTTTTTTTTTAAAAGGAAAATTAAAAAGAATGGAATTTCATATGAGTCAGGTGGTTTTATTGCGAGAATATCCAGGCGTATTGACAAATGTTAATACGATACATTTTGTTATGTTTGTATTATTCTTTTTTTTTTCTTTAATTTTGTTCTGTTTTCCGCCTTTTTTTTTTTTTTAATTGTGGCAATAGTAATACGATTCCCCGAATAATAAAAAATTAACCCAATAAATATTTAATTTCTAACAAAAACTAAACTAAACTAAAATGAAAATCGTCAAATTTTCCCTTTTTTGTTAATAAAATTAATTATTTATCATTTGAAACGAAAAAAAAACAAAAATTATTGTTTATTTTAAGAAAAAGAAAACGATAAATAATTTCAAAATAAATTTCCCTTCATATTGTTTACGTTTTGTCTAAAACCACGACAAAAAATTTTTACTTATTGTAAACGGCCATCATTCGGTTCGTTTAATTTTTATTTTATTTTGTTTTTTCAATTGTTAACAAAATATCAGTGAGTCAATCATTATTAAATTTTAATTATTTTTAATTATTAATAATAATAATAATAATAATAATAATAAACAAATATTTTTCTTTTTGTTATTTGCATTGAAATCCGTAAAAAAAAAAAAAAAAAAACATTTGTTGTTAATTAGAATATAATTGTTTTTGTTTTTGGCATATTTTAAACAACACCTGCTTCTTTTTTTTTTTTTTTTTTTGTTGTTTAATAACCGAAATTAATTGTTTAAAAAAAAAAAAAAAAAAAAAAGAAATCACGTACTGACGAAAAAAAAACATTTTTATATATTTATATAAATTAAATAACAAAAGAATTAAAACAAAAGAAAGAAAGAAAGAAAGAAAACCGTTAAAAAAAAGAAATTTTTCAAATGTTTTTTTTTTTTTTTCTTATTACAAAAATGTCAGAAATAATTAAAAAAAAAAAAAAAGAAAAATTATTATTATTATTATTATTATTATTATTTAAAATCTGTTTTTGTAGTCGAATAGAAAATTTTTTTATTATTGTTATTATTATTATTATTATTATTATGTTTAAAAAAAGTGATAAATTGATAAGTAATGAGTGCGTTTATGTTATGCATACAAATGTGGGTTGGAAGAGTATTGAAGGACGAGAAACAGATGACGACAAACTAACAACATTCGGATGTTTGATGGTTCTACAAACGATCATGATGATGATGATGATGATGATGACATTACGTAATTTTTTCTTTTTTTTTTTTTTTTCCTCTTTAATAAATTTATGTTTAACGAATATAATAATCATCCTATCATAACACTGGTAGCAATGGTGGTGGTGGTGGAGTTCTTTTGTTTCTTTTTAAACTATTATTATTATTATTAACATTTACTAAACGTAGAGTTTTAATAAATAAAATCGTTGTTTGTCGTTTGTCGTCACAAAGCAAAACTATAACAACAACTCATCTTTTTTTAACAAGGGCGTGGTTTTAATATTTTACGTAAATCAGAGTAAAATCCGTTGGATAATTTTTTTTTTTTAAATCATTGATACAACCTGGGCGTTGCATTTAAATAACTCATCGAAAATAATAATAATAATAATAATAATAATAATAATAATAATAATAATAATAATAATAATAACCCTGAGGTCATGATAGTACCGTACAATCAACCTTGAAAAAGTAAAAAAAAAAAAAAAGTTAAAAGAAAAAAAAATTTTTTTTTTTTTTCAAACGTGTAGTAGGCTTAACTAAGGTATAATAATAATAATAATAATAATAATAAAAAGCAATAATGGTCAAAAGTAAAGGAAAAAATTAAATTCCGCCCTTTTTTATGATGATTAAGGCAAAAAAAAAAAAAAAAAAAAAGAAAACCTGTTGATTTTCCCGAATGAAAACAAAAAAAAAAAAAAATTTTCCCAATCGTTATGTTCAATGATCCCCTTTAACCCGACAATTTTTTTTTTGTTTTTTTTTTTTGTAAATTATTAATCGTCGGTTCCCCCCCCCCCCCGATAAAAAAGGGAAAATTTCCCGGGTTTTGTTGTTTGTAAAATTTTTTTTTCGGGTAAAACGTATACTAAAAAAAAAATCTTTCGTTTTTCTTTCTTTCCTTTCAAAATTTTATTAATAAAAAAAAAAAAAAGAAAAAGGGGGACAAAATTTACGCTTTGAAGTTTTTTTTTTTTTTTTTTTTTTTTTTTACACATTTAAAATGTTTGCCATTAGATTAAATTTAAAATAATTTAGTAAAAAAAAAAAAAAAATTTTTTTTTTTATACTCTCCCGCCAAGAGCTTTTAAAAAAAAAAAAAAAAAACATGTTTTTTCCAGATTTTTTTTTTTTTTTTTTACATTTTTGAATGCATGTTTGTTGCGCTTAATTTTTTCTTCTGCTTTTTCTCATTTTTTTCATTATAATTGATTAAACTTACGTTTTTTCTTGTTTTTGCCTTGTAAAGTCACGCCGCACGTTTTTTTTTTAAATTTACGGGTTTGTAAAAAAAAAAAAAAAATTTCAATTTTCGAATACCATAGTAAGAAAAAAAAATTCGTAGTGGAAAAAACAGGTGTCGAGGTATGAGTTGATGGTTGATCACGAATATTTTTGGGTCTTATTGGCGCCAGAACCTGATTTTAAAACTTTAAAAAAAAAAAAAATTTTTTTTCTTTTTTTTTTTTTTCAATAAAAGAATTCGTAGTAATAATGATGATAATAATAATAATACGAACCCTCGAAATAGTTTTTTTCTTTTAGGGTGTGTGTTTATAGTAAATTTTTAAAAAAAT